ATTCCTACAACACGTATAACGCATATACTATGATACACCTACAAAAATATTGTGTTTATATATAAGTTGCATATCAAATTCAAAGTAGGTACCTACTGGTGAAAAGATTAGATTAGATTTTTAACGTAAATTTTTTACTATGTGAGATTATAGGTATATATTATAGTCTAGCCGATCAACATACTACCAAGGTAATATGTGAGTAACCTATGGTTACATACCAATTTTTATTTTTGGTATGGGGATAATATACTTAAAATGTCCGCGTATACGATTCGGAGTATTATACACTTGTCGATTTCATAAAAAATCTACTAAAAAAAAAAAATGTTCCTATATTACAATTGTCTTGTCGGAAAGTAGAGAGTAAAAAAAAAAAAAAACGAATCAATTTGAACGTTTTCCACCAGCTTGTGTATACATTTTTGTTTAGGTCGGTTTAAAAAAAAAAAAAACAACAAAAAAAAAAATATAATAATAACAAAAAATACGCACGTTGAATCCGATGGGATTCGTTCTAACGAAGAATCGTGGTCGTAAACTTTTATTTTAATCGAATGCAATGTGCTCGCATAAAAACGACACTTCAATGCTGCTGCATGTCCTAAAAAATAATAATAATAACAATACCTATTGTAACAACTATGTAGGTACGTATTTAAAGAACAAAAAGTTTATTAAGTCACCGTCGTCATCGTAAACAATCTTCAGTTTCTGAGTTTCACTCGGTGCGGACGTGCTAATATTTATTTTTATTTTGTTTTTTTTCATCTCACGTTTTTGTTTTACAAATTTCCGCGAAAATGACATCGTCGCGACAACGTTCAAATGTTCGTAATGGACAAGGCTCACGTGTCTTTTTGTGTGTATGTGTGTGGGTGCCGGCATCGTGACTTGAATGCAGAGCTCCCTCCACGGGAAACCGATTAACATTTTTCCGAATGGCCGTTCTGCTCAACCCCAAAACCCTGTAAACCTTTATATCTCCGAAGAAAGGTTCGAGGATAATGATAGTGTAAGAGCATAAAATGCACGTAGGTGGTTCATTTTCGACGAGTAATACTGCTAGTAATAGTATATATTTTATCATCGAGCTCGTGCCATATTATTAAACCGCGGTTTTACACGCTGAAGCGCTTTCTGTTCACGTGCGCTCCACTAGCCTTCTCAATTTCGACCCCGTAAACCTTGGCTTCCTTTCGCGGTGATTACGACTTACACACTTGTTGCCTTGTGAAACTTTATCGGTCATATACCGTTTTTCGTAATCTTCGTACAATCGGTCAAAAAGAGTTCTGTCGTCTTTCTCTTTTTATTTCGGTTGATCAATGTGGTCAACGATGTAACGTTTCTATAATGCTTCCATTAAACTCCCGTAGTGAATAACATAATATCGCGTACAATGTACATTTAATATTGATACGTATTTACGAGTACGATACATTTACTGAACTATTATAAATATTCTATTCTCTAACTGCAAATTCAGTATTATACACATATTTTCAGTTGACGTTCCTAGGCGTTCCACTAATGGACGTTTTTACCTGGTTATATCTACACGATTGTTTCTTTATACAATGTATTACTGTAATACAGTTTTATTAAGTATCTTTTTGTCGAATAAATATATTGTCCTGTAATTAAAAAAACAAATCTATCTGTTTGTATAACATTTTCAATTAACCAGACTAAAATAAAACAAAAGTATTGACTCGTGTATATTTGAAATGAAATACTAATATAAACCTACAAACAACGAATCCAATACGGCCAAATTACTTCATCAGATTATAGCTCAAATCAGTTTTATTCCAAGACTGGACTTTCTTAAAACAATAGTTATGTATATGTTTTTCTTCTCGTATAAGCTTCGATAGACGAGTATAAAAAGGAAATATCTGTATTCTATTTGTCCAAATCTTGAAGTACATGAAAAATATGTCTTTTTTATTTTTTTATCTAAGCGAGATATAAGGTTTTCTGTCTATATATATATATATATATTTACATAAATTAATTCCTATTTTATATTAATCAAGATAATGTTATGTAAACGTCAACATTTTGTCCGCACTAAGAGTCGTGTCTAAGGATTCCATTATAAAATTCAATTAATTTTAATCTTTACAAATTTAATGATTTTTAAAATAGATGAATAAAACCCTATACAAACTCATTTTATAAAGCTATTTGATATGAACTCAATTAATTATACCATGCACATCACAATATATAAGCAACGATTAAATTTTAATTACCGAAAAAACTGCAATGACAAATTTAAAAATAATAACTTTCATTCATACAAAACTCAGAGTCGATGCATGTAAAAACATCAGTCATTTAGTTTTTTTTTTAACTATATTAGTTATTACAGACTAATTTAAGCACCTCTACTATAATATAATTATATAAATGATTTATACTCTAGTTTTTATACCTATAAACTATTGGGAAATTGAAGAGCTATATACAATTTTTATCAGATTTATGTCACTATTTTAAAATTAAATACCAACTTAAAAAACAATTAATAAACAAAATTTTAAGAAAATGTTTATCTGTTTTACTATACATTTTATAGTTTTTAGAATGAAAACATATATTGCTAATGTATTCTATTTTAAATTTTACTAAAAAATTATTAAAATGTTTGCATGAAAAAATAAAATAAAATTTAAATATTAATATTAATAACTTTTTTTAGACTCAACAGTAGCGATAAATTTATTAAATTTCAATAGTAAATATTTTTATAATTATTTTATTTTTATACCTCAAGACACATTTTTCTACTATAAAATTATTTTATTATCAACTATGATAAAAGTTACTTATAGAAAATTTGAACTATTCAATAGTTTAAGAAGTCAAAGTTGAAAACTCTAAGATAATTTTCAAATTATAAAGAAAAAATAAAAAATATTTATTAATGAGATATTTAAGTGAATCTGTGATTAGAACCAAGAACGTGACTGTTATAATAGTAATCATGTCCGTCGATATGTTAAAATCACAGTGTTAGTATTAAAAATAATTGTTCGGTAACACCTTGGTTATAAACAATTTTAACCATTTTTGCTAAGAATATTTTTACATTATATATAATATAGATACATCGTAACAGTTAATTGGTAACGAGGTTCATTTGATCCTTAAAATTATAGAATAAAGAAGTTACTCATTTTTACCTTGTTCATTTTTTTTCTATATTGTGGCCCAATAAAGTTTGAAATTAACGAAACTTTCCTATAATTTACTAATCCATACTGTACACAGTTTAGTTAAAATTTATATCTATTTCATATTATAGAATTATAGTATACAATTGTCAATATTTAGAAAAAAAATTAAAATATAATTTAACAAATTTTAATTGTGTGATATATTGAACACTTTCGGCTATATGTAATTTTATTGATCACTATGATGGGAATTAAAAAAAAAATGTTGAGCAATTTAATTATTTTTAATTACTTATAAACGTGTTACGATGAAGCAAAATTCATGTAATTCATGTTTTCAAACTTTTAAAAACCAGACTCACAATACAATAAGGTATAGGTAGTCATATAATAAATACCCATATATCTGTCTGTATACATCATTATCGAGTAAAATACGGTCGTTGAGTAAGCTTTGTCGGGAAGCTAGAAATTAAATTAACTAAATATAATTACCAGCTACCCACCGGAGATGCGAGCTTGTAGGGAATTATAGTAGTAGGTAGTTTCTAGAACAAGAGACTGAAGAAATAATAGTACCCAAAGGTCGGTTAGCAGATACGTAGGCAGGTAGTCAGTTACGTGTTCTCGTCTACAAATCACGCGGATTTGAAGTTTTTCTAATCATATAATTTACTGTGTACATCCGTTTAAATTACTGCTCGCAAAACCATTAAAACAGTGATTGGTGATGACTGGGGGAGGGGTACATGTATGGTAGGAAAGATGAACCGGGGAGTAAAAAATGTCTTACTGTTAATTATAATTGGTCTTTGTAATCAATGACAAAGGTTTATTACCATGGTTGGACTTTTCTTAAAATCGTTATAATTAGAACTCGTCAAATGTATACCACATATCAATGAATAATTTTCCGTTTTTTTATTTTCATTGTAACTTTCCCAGTTAGAAAATCAAATTATCATATCAATATATCAATTGGGCTCAAACTTACGGAGAAAAATATTGCTTTCTTACTAGGGTTAAATCCAAATACGAAATTATTTGCAGTTTAAGCCGATAAGACTGGATTCTCTCGCCGGCAATACATTATGTTTATAAAACTTATAATAATATTAAACTGTCGTGTGTAATTCACGAACTCTGATCAAGTAGCTTCCGAATGTATCAAAGAAAAAATTAATAATTTGTCAACGTCTTAATGTTATTAACGGAACGGTCAAATAAAACTAAAATCGCCGAAGGCTGGTTTTAAAAATCTTAAGCAAAGCCTGTAGTGTAAACGATCGATATTCGTATGAAGCACATAGTTGTTTTCAGCGTGCCTTAATTCTTCGTTGTAATCACCGTCGACGATTTGTTTAAATTACACAAAGACCGAGTTTATTGCAAAAAATAATAGTAATAACAAAAGAAACATGTTTTAGAACTTGTAATTGTTTAATTAACAAACGGTGAGCTAACGGAAAGGGAGGTATCGTGTCTACGGAATAATAAACTGGCAGTTTCATTAAAAACATCGGAACAGAAAATAAAAGAAAACCATGCGAACGTTTATTATTATTCGTTATTTAGGGAAATGTAATTTCGTTAATTGAACTGGCTCGATGCCCTGAGAAGGACTTTGGGCATTCGCGTTATAGTCACCCAAAACGGTGTAAGCACCGCGGATAGACGGCGATGACTACACCTCGTTCTGTTATTGTCGTGAAGTGACTTTCATTTTGTTTTTTTTTTTTTTTTTACATTATCCCCCATTATCATAATAATGTATTCATGTCGCTAATCTTCAATTGGCAAATGCCGTTTCAGGTTCAAACTTACCGATTCCGAAGACGGATTCGACGAAAATGGATCCTAAATTCAACGGAACGTTACAAAACGTAACAGCCACGGTTGGCAGAAGGGCCACTTTATCATGCACCATTGAAAACCTAGGGGCGCACAAGGTGAGTAGTTTTTCACATACTTATTGTATTTAAATTTGTTTGCTGGGCTTATGCTAAACTACAAAGTAAAGACGGATTAAACAAAATACTATACATATAAACTAATAATAATAACCTTAAAAATATTAGGAATCAAAATTTCTGGAAAAGCCGTTTTCTCAAAATGACTTATTTCATTTTCATGTTTTAGGAATTAAATGGTTTTATTTCTGAAAATTTCATTCATTGTAATAAGTACCTAAAGAGGAAATTTTTAAAAATAAATAATGTATTTAACGCAGTGTTAACAAACTCATCTTTCAAAGAACTGTTTGTAAAAAAAAATTTATTTTCTTAGTCTATATTATAATAATTGTTTTTTTCAATAATTACGTTAAAAGATTCTAATAAAGGATACAAATTACCTTTATTCGTTCTAAAATTATTACAATTCCTTTAAAAAATAAAATAAAAAACGTACCAATAAATACTTATAACTTTCAAAATATAACTATATTATCTTATTGTTAATTAACTATATTTACATTTATAATTTTGAAGCCATATTAATTTATACAGTATGTCTAAAAAATTTTAAAACATTTTTATTATTTATTTTGCATCTATAAAATGTTTGCTAAAAAACATCTTTAAAAAAAAGCTGTTAAATCGTGACTTCGTTATCAATTAAATTATATCACGATATAACAGTTATACAGTTATGTAACTTTTTTTTTACTCAAAAACTAAAAACGTATGTCTGATATAAAAAATCTTTCTTTTATTTTATTAAATGTAAGTATTATATTTGAATTATAAACATCATTAAAACGAAAAATGAACTCAATATGAACTTGCATACAATAATAAGTATTTTTAGTTATAATCACAAATCGCATTTATATTATACTATGTTATTAATATAACAATATCAAGAAAAATTTTAAATAACATTTTGACCGTCGGTTACGCGTAATTTCAATAAATTGGATGACAGAAAATTGACATTTGCAGTAAAATAAATACTTAATGTACAATTCTCACATTCAAATATTTCATTAGTTTTATTTAAATAACTTTCAAGACATTTAAAAGTATTGTATTCTAAAATATATACCGTATTATTAAACTTCTTACGTTTAATTATATTAGTAATGAATAAATAAGTTATAAATGCAAAAAAGTAATCGACTTAATTAATGCGCAATAAAATACAGAAATTATATGTAACTGTATAGAAATATTAATTGTTCGAAGATGTTGATATAAATTAAAATTCCTGAGCAAATTATAATTTAGTAATATAAAAGCAGCGAGTACCTACATAACATTATATTTTGAGTTCGATGCCTGTTTAATTGCAACGGTTTTATTAATATTAACGTAACCTATTCATAAAAAATGTATTTGTCGTAATCTAACCATATTTACAAACATTTACGGTAGTATATTTACAGTTCACGTACATTAATATCCGTCGGTTTAATGCCTTGCGGTTGTGACCGTGTGTTGATACCAAGTGCTAATTTAGAAGGTACAAGGAGGATTCATGACCATTGCCCGCCGCATGACATGACGGACGTTGGCCGTTTCCCACGTACTGTAAAAGCTACGCGACAAGTCTCGAAATCCAACGGTCACAGTATCACTGGTTCTTTAACGCTAAACCACATGTCCATATAAAGCCAACTCAAACAATTGGGGGAGGGGTCGTTTTCGTAGGCGGAAACTATGCCTCGGCGTGACAAGGCCCATGCTTTGGAGGCTAACCTCCAACCCGTACTACCATTTTAAATTGCCACTGTTGTTCATTGAACATAGCTCTCCAGCCAATCCCCGGTTTTATTAGAATAAGGGCTTCGCAATCTGACAAGTTCCCAAATGTGTGGTTTACACACTCACCGCTAAATCCTGGAGACATAGCACCTAACGCGACTAACCTAACTAGAGCACTTGGCAAATCAACGGTGGTGCCAAATTTTTCGCTCCACCCCACACAAAAAACGAATGCCATCTGTGTATGCTAACTAACTGTTCAGCGAGAAGAAAGCCGACATATCATCAACATCGCTGACTCTCACATCGGTGGTACTATACCGACCGCTCAGGGACGACGGACTTTTCGTCATCAGACAAGGAGTTGATTTCACTTAGCTGTCTGCAGTCGCTTATTTGTTATTCACGGCTATCCTGTGTGTAGAAGATGCCCCCATTTCGCAACCCAGGGATATAATCTATTCCGAACACCATTGATCGCGAGACCACAGTGGAGAGAGGGGAACCGCTGGGTTGAACTTCGCCAACATCACACCGCTGGTGTGATCTGATAAAGTTTAAGCATATTATCTATTATATTAAATTGCCAATATAATCAGCTGTTACAGTGTCAAACATTTGTAGCCAATAGATTAATCTTTTATATTGTATTTCTTCAAGTCCCTCTTACCTTTCGACTTGATGAAGGAAAAAGCGTTTTAGCGGACTCAACCGTCGATTTTTTTGATTTCTAGTACGCGAAGCCCATGTTTAATTTATTATTAGATTGTCGAGTTCCGTCGCATTGCGTTTCCGGAGGCCGTGATCATGAAATTTTGACTTGGCGCGTGGCTCCTCTATTAATGGTCAATCGTATGTTCGTACGGTAATCGTAGTAATACTGCACATCAAACGCGTATTACTACGTCTTATACTATTGTTTTATATACCGTGCGAACCGTTTAACGTAAGGCACTCATTACTTCAGAAACTATGAATGTTTTTTAAAAATAAATAATTACACAACGTTAAGCTTTTAAGACACATTTTTCAATAACAATTATATTATTTACTACTATCTGTAAAAATGCATTTTTTATTCAATGCGTTTTTAATTCTTTATTCCAAAACGAAATATTTTTATTTTTTCAATACTTCAATACATAAAAATTGAATTTTGGACAAGTATTTTACAAGTTATAATTATAAAGTTATGACGATCGGAGTAAAGTTATATAAAAGTATCTCACAAAATGTTGGACTTCTATTCCATTCATCAATATACATTAAATAATTATACCTAATTGTATGGATAGATATATCCCAGATCTGCATATTTTACTTCCGAATATTAAATTAAAATTATACGTGGTCATTCAAAGATTAAATAATTTACAAAATAATAACACTATAAAATAAAAGTATTCTAACTTTATCCAAAAATATTTGAATTACCTATGTAAAAGAAATATTTTCAAAAACGTCAGTGCTTTGCCTTCTGATTTTGAAATAATGAGTGTTCTTGATCCACATTGTATCATGGTTGAATGTCTTGAGTGTTCGTTTTCTTCTTCTTATTTTTTTCAGAAAGCTCACTCGCATGCGTGCATATGTTGCAAGTGTTGCAAGTGAGTTGATTTTCGGCAAAATACTGTTTACTTAGCTCTTCAAATCACTTTAATATCGTAAGAATATAAAATACATGCGTATCAAATCGCGTTATAACGCATTCGAAACACAACTATATTGTCTGTCTACATTTGTTAGGAACTCAAAAATAATCTATTCCTTGAACCAAATACTTCTTAACTTTATATTATAACGATGTTTTATAGTTAAAAACGAATTACTTTTACTATTATTATTATATTGTATCAGAATCAAATTAGTTTTAATAACCATCTAATGGTAAAATTACATTGGCTATCTAAATATTACCTACGCAACTTTGTGATTGATCTAAAATTATTAAAAAAAAAAAAAAAAAAAAAAAAAAAAAAAAACGTTAAAAGAAACCTTAAAACTCATATTTACATAGGTTTCATCAATACATTTTATGAGAAAAATCATAAGTTCAATACGAGTTACAGTGATAACTCGTTCACCAAATTAATTAATTAATTAAAACACGATAAAATATATCAGTCAATATTGAAACATGAAACAGGGTCTCGTATAGCTTTATTGTTTTTTTTTTTTTAACTAAAATGACATTGATGCTTAAAACCAATCCGACCGGTAAATATATAATATATATATATATATGTGTATATATAATAATTTAATGAACATGCACGAGTACTTTCAGACCTTAAATAATAATATATTATCGCCGCACGTATTCAAATAAATTTATCCTACGAATCCATAACAATATTCTCGTCAAGTTTGATTATAATATACGTTTTTCATTTCCCTTTTCCAACGATCGTCCGCACCAATGCATGTTGGTACAATTAACCTTTTCCGCCGCCGTTGAATTCAATCAGCTTTGTCCTCCGCGCGTTTTTATTCGATTATCGGTCAACGGGGATCAATCAATCGTCTAGTAGTCGCACTACAGCGACAGTGGTAAAGTCTTTTATTTTTTCCTATCTGTTTTTCCACCTCTCTCTCTCTCTCTATCTCATTTTCTCCTTCAACCTGTCTCGGTTCCTTCGCATGTATCTCTCTCTTGACCCACGTCTTAATTTGGAGCTCGCCGCCGCCGCCGCCGCCGACGGTTTATTAAATCTTTGAATTGGCTTCCAACTCACGTATACATCCACCGCCACTGGCCAAGGAATAAAATATCTTTCCCGCGTTCCGAGATACATAGAAACTACGGCGAATGAATAGCCGCGGCAACAGCAGCCGACACACCGCTTTTATAAATTATGCAAATCAAGTCTGCAGGTGCCCGCCATCCGACTTTGTCCGACAACCACGCGGTCATCGTTAAGGGGCCAAAACAGCTGTGTCACGGTTGTACGGTCGTTCCTATCCTGCACCTCCTAACCGCTGTATAGATTCGGTGCGTCGGACGTGTTTACACTCGGACGAAATCGCGTGGTATAAATTATAAGGGTGTAGTTCAAAAAAAAAAAAAAATAATAGTAACAATTTATGATGAAATAAAAACGAAAATTGTTTCTTTTAGATGTGAGTAATAACACCGTGTCATTACACCCTGCCACAACTAACAACGAATCAGTTTTGTTTCGTTTTTTACATTTTTTCCCTCGCGTTATTCATCCCCTTCGAACAAACAATTTATGGATATTTCA